CCCGTTACCTCATTTCCCCATAGTGGTGCTTGTGCATGTGACCGGAGCCTTGGGTCTGTGATATGTCTCCTTTCTGATTTATGATTCTAGACGTTATCTTGTACTAAGCAACGATTTCGTTCGAGATGGGATCTTAGTTTTAATGTGGGCGTAGTAAAGGTCTGCTTTTGAAGGAAGCAGCATGATCGAATGTTCAGTCGTTCTCGTCACATAGATAATACTTTATCGGCTAGGTCGTGCGAGAGCCACTCGATGCCGGGCTACGTTCTTGACGCTCTCCCCATATATAGCTGCCCAACTATCACAGCTCGGTCCTAGTTTCTACGTTTTGTCGAGTATTTGGATTTTCCTCTTCGCCTAGTTGTTTATTTTTTCTATTTTTTTTAGGAGATCTTTGTCCGAGAGTAGGTCGCTCCGGTTTTACACGTGTAAGGGGGTCCCACGTCTCACTGGGCTTGCGGGCTTTAATCTAAACAATAAAGCGTGCTAGATTCACTGGGAAACTTGAAACATCGCTAGGGCATATCCCTATCCCTATCCCGACAGCTGCTCTGCCTGGAAAAGGAAGGGGGAGACCGTCCCCGTCATCCTTTACCCCGCCGGGAAAGCGGAAAGATACAAGGCGATATCCGTCCTCTTTCTAACCTGGACAACTTCCCGTTTCTTTCATTTGGTTTTTCTTTTCCTTTTTTTTATCCTTTCTCCGAAGAGCTTCACTCCGGTTTATGCGTGAAAGGGGGCCCCACGTCGTAAGGGGCCTGCAGACCTTAATCAAAACAACATAGCTTCACTCGGAACTTGAAACAAGTCCAGGAATCCTCCCTTTCACTTTGCTGCCTGGAAAGGAAGGGGGGTCCGTCCCCGTCTTCCTTCACCCGGCCTGAAGAGCGGGAAAATGCAGACTGTATCCGTTCTTTTCCCAGCTAGGGCAAATTCGAGTATGTAGCACGACCTTTGGTCTGTGCCTATAGGGATTCGCGTCAGTATCTGCGTGAAAGGGGGTCCCATATACCTCTGGGTCTTTATTACATTCGGGTGAGTATCGAAAACAATTTAAGGACGCTCTTCTACCTTTTGCTTTTCGGAAATAGAGTGGGGCATTCCCTACTATTTTCACCCGGACGCATTAGTGAGGATGAGGCGGCCCACCCGATGCTCTCAAAGGACAAAGTTTCAGCAGCCAGGTACGGCGCCCGCCTATACGTGATGCTCAGGGAAGAGTAGGACCGACCGTGAGAAGTAAATCCCGGATAAAGCTCGGGAGCAATACTGTGCAGAGGTGCGCGGATTAACGAGCAGCTATCTCAGCAAACCCCAGAGCTCGTCGAATATACATACGCTATTCGAGCCGAAAAGAAAAGGCAAACCCTCCCCCCCCACCCCTATCCGGAAACGTGCATGTCTGATGATCTCGTAGTAGAGTGGTACTACGATTGGTTTATCTCACCCCACTCCCAACTTCATCTGACGGCTTTAGGACTTCAGACTTTTGGGATATGGACAACTCGAAGGGCGTACACGTTTGGGGATCTTTCACACCTTTCTGGGCGAAAAATCAGCAGAAGGAAAAGGAAAGGCAAGTGGAATCGAGTACACGAGTTGGTGGAGGAAAGGGATTGGAGGCTGGGAGGGACGAAATGATGTGTGTGGAGATGCAAGATGCAGGATTGGTGACGGGAACTTGGAATAAGATCGATGAAAATCGATCATTCACCTTCGGGGCAGGGGATAGGTTGGTGAAAAGGATGGTGGTGGGGAAGCTAGTCGACCACCAGAGAAGAAGCGAGGGGGTGAAGGTGATTGGAATGGGAAAAAGTTCGTGGAGCAGTGGAGGGATCCACGCCAACTACTGGGATCGGTTAAGAAAGGGTCGGCTCACCTAGAGAGGCAAAAATGGTGGCCAGTGGAGGAGTGTGGAGAAGACTCAGACGAGGGAGATGGGGAAATGGAAGTTGAAAAAAAGGAGGGACAGTCTTCACATGCTGAAACGAGTGTGGAGGAAATCAGGCAGATGTTCGAAAAATGCTATGACAGGCTAGTCATACCAGACACCTCAAAATTTGCTAAGTTTGAAATGAAAGGTAAGTCGGTTATGATATCGCTGCCGGAGGAATTGGAGAAAGCACAGGAAGAGTGGTTGAAAGAACACGTAGTGGTAGTCTTTTTCCAGGGCGCTTTCAAATCCCTGGCTGCAGATAAAAAAGAACAGTGTATTAGAGCACTCGAAGATTCGATCCTTCCGCCTTGTCTGCACCACAAAGAAAGGGAAGGGTCCAGCAAGAGGGGAAGAACGTCATGTCTTACTACTACCCTCGGGATAAGAGAACCGTAGATTTTTTGTTGAATATGGGCGCTCACAAACTGAAGGTGGATGGGGCAGTCTACAAACTCAGTTTCAAACGCTGGATGTCACAAAAAGAACTGGAAAAATCAAAGGAAGAGGAATCAATCAGCAAAATTTGAGTAATGGCTCTGAGAGTGCCGATCACAGCGGTTCCTTTTGTCAGGTCAGGAATCGATTTTGCAGTTGGGAAAGTTTTGAAGCAATATCCGCCAGAAAGGTACGAGGATATGCCAAAGCTGAACAATGTGAAATTTGACATTCCTCGTGACAGGAGGAACCGCGTACCTAATGATCTACAATGGCCTCAGATTGACGGATCATTGTACGAGATCAGGATTGTTACTTAGTTCACCGACTACTGCCAAAATTGTAGGGACTATGCAGGTCACTCAACAAATTGTTGTCCTGAAACAGCAGATGCCCACCCGTTTGAATTGAAGATAAATACAAGAGAACAGTCCTCTCCCTCTAGAAATCAGTTGGCGCAGCGGGGAAGAAGAAAGGTTTCGGCTCCTACCTCGCTTCAGACGATCACCAGCAAAGACGGTCTACGGGCAGGAGCTTTCGGATTGGATAAGATTGGCCCCCCAATCAGGCAGTCTTATGGGAGGAGGAGGCCAAGGGGCTACACGCTCTACAAGCCTTGGATCGGGTAATCAGAGCATGGAAAACTCCAAACCTGGTCCCAAAACCGTTGCCTGGAAGAAGACAGTACAAACAACTCCCCATCCTGTCCCAAAGGATCAATCGGGCAAGACTGCTGGTCAGGAAAGCCGCAGCGGTGAAGACTCGGGGGGGGGAGGGTGCAAGGAAGGGAAGGTGGTAGAGGAGGGGGGAAAAGGGAATGTGTTGTCAACAACAGGAAATCAGGAAGCATCTTTGAGAGGGGGCATTTCTGAACCCCCTAAGGCAGAGGGCAGTAGTGATATCCCTGGGCCTATGTTACCCCCCCCACCGTCCGGCAGCGGTTTGCAAAAGACCAGCGAGCCAGCGGTAGGAGGAGGGCATGGGGCGCAGGGGAATGTAACAGAATCTGGGTTTAAACTATCTGGTCAGGACTCTTCACCAACTGCAGAAGAGTTGAACAAAGAGCAGGATCTGCTCCCTACCAACAAGGAGACAGGAAATGGGGATTGTGATATGGGAAATGAGAGTGAAGAGGTGGACTCTGATGCTCAGACTGACTCTTCACAGGACTGGAATGACTCAGCTGGTTCGGCTGATGAGCCTTGCAACCCCAAGGATAAAAAAGGAAGAATGGACTTCTCAGAGAGCACCGAGTCATTAAAAAATGAAAAAACAAAAAATAA